CTGCCAACCCTGCACAAGCTGCCATGTTCATTGTGCAGGGCAAGGGTTTATTTCAGGAAAACACACGATCAGGCTCTTCACAGGAAAAGCCAAGTATGAAGGCACGCTGACATTACAGTGGGGCACTGTAATGCCCCTTTCAGCTGTTCTCACCCTGAATCCTCAGACATGCCCAGCTGTGGGGAGTCACACCCTGTCTCCTGCATATTGATTTTAGACCTGAAACTAAAGCCAGATCAGTCCCAGCAGCGCAGCCTCTCTGGGCAGTTACCTGGCCTTGTAATCTCACATGTTCTCTACACGTGAAACTAAATGACATGACAAAACACAAAGTATAGCAAACAAGGGCAGTTACTTTTGCTTTTACCTCTAGTTCCTGTGCCCTTTGGCTTTGTTAAGGCTGTTAAAATATCCCGTGTCTCACACGAGATACCTGCAACTGCCACACACATATTCCACCAAGCTAATAGCCCCCATGTCCTCGGCTTTCTCCTGTAGCACTTCTCAACTCTTTGCACAGAGCTGAGCAGCAACCCATGGGAAGCTGTGAGACATCTGAGCAGGAAGCCATGGTGTGATGTTCACACTGTGCAACCAGTCCTGTGCAACCCAAACTGCTGCTACTAAGGCTTCTGCCAGAAAGCTCAGCTATGCTCACAGGCATCATACCTATCCCACTTTCAAGAATAAAAGGAGGGAACACTGTACAACCACACACCTACCCTCAAACTATCAGCCTTGTGCACCACCTACACGTGTTCAGGACTAGCCCCTACCAATCTTCCAGGCTACGATTCCCTCCTGGATACAGCTTCCCACCAATGTCTGAGGTATGGGAAGTTTTCTGCTGCTTGGACCCACAGTCTCACCCCGTCTCCATAGGGACACACAGCACATTCACCAGCTGATCCCTTACCCAGGTGGCGATGTACAGGCTGGGGTTTGTGTACTGGACAGCTGGCAGGGGGTCCTGCTCTGTGTCCTCAACAAATGCCAGGGCCAACTCCGCCACTGCTGTCAGCATCAGCAAGGTAGCCAGCACCTGCAGGGAGAAGGGAGCAGTGGGGAGGGGAGACCCAGCCCATCCTGGGCACTGGGAAGTACTGGGAAGCACTGGGAGACATAGGTGGGCATAAAAGCACTGAATCCCATACACTGTTAAAACCTTTACAACCCAAACCTGGCCCTCTGGAGCTTTTTAAGGCCCTGTGAAGCTGCAGCAGCTCCAACAGCAAGCAAGATGAGAGGCCCCAGTACACACCCCAGCCCTCCCTCCCAGTGCATCCCAGCCGTTATCCTTCTGTCCCAGATACATCTTATCCTGGGCTCACCTTTACATTTCTGTCCCAGATGGTGCCCCAGGCCATTGTTCCTTTTCTCCTACACATTTCATCTCTTCATCCCACACCTGACTCCAGCACAGAGGCTTTCCACCACCCCTCCATCTCAGACTGCTCCAGTCTGCCCTCTCTGTGCCGTCTCAGTCCCACTCTACCTGTTTGATGATGTAAAGTTTGGTCACAGATGATTTCTTGGCTCTGGATTTGCACATGGGCAGGAGATGCCATGGAGCCAAAATCCAGAAGAAGCCAAGAGGGACCCAGACCAGCACAGTCTGCTGGAAGCACACGGGCAGGTCGGCATCCGGACGAGCAAGGTAGGAGTCATTCTGGGGGCAACAAGGACAGACAGCCAAGTCACTTGGGATGGCTCAACCTCACCTGGCTCCCAACAGAAGAGCCAGCAGTCCTAAAGCTCCTGCTTTAGGAGCTCCTGCTCCACCCCATCACACTTCCCTCCTCAACACCCACCTTCCTGGCTGAGCCTTGCAGCGCTCACCCCAGGCCCCAGATTACATCCTCCTGGTACCCACCAAGCTGCCTGAACCTGGGAGGGCCTCCCCCATAACAACCCTTTCTGGAGCCAAGTCAGCTGCAGCAGCTGGGCTTTTTCTCCAAGAAGTGCCCCGTGTTCCCAGCTGGACAGAACAGGGCTCACTCAGGGAACTATCACTTGCACTGCTGTCCCATGGATGCCTCCCAGGCAGCGCACGGCGCTCAGTGCCGCGGCAGCCCTGGATAAACAGGAGAACCTCAGCTGAGCGCTGGCAGCTGCATCCCGCTGGCTTGAACCCCCCGTGAGCCTTGCGATCCACTGCCCTCCCCTGCCCCTGGGCATCCCACTCACCCAAAAGACAGAGCCACAGAACTCCTCCAGGGCTGAACACCCCGTGAGCCTTGCGATCCACTGCCCTCCCCTGCCCCTGGGCATCCCACTCACCCAAAAGACAGAGCCACAGAACTCCTCCAGGGCTGCTGACATGGCTCAGGTGAGAGAAGACAGGGGCTCCAGCCCCTCACTGTGCCTGGCTGTGAGAGTCCTGGGTGGACACTTGGGATAAAAGTCCCTACACACCCTCAAGTGGCGCTTGGACAAAATCCCTAATGACAAATAGTTAATTTTTAACTTAGTGCTGTTGCATAACACCACCGACCAAGCAGTGACCAAAAGGGCTTTGGAAATTGCATGTGCTCTGCAGAAGGGAGAAGAGGAAGGGCCAAAAGATGAAAGGGGACATGCAGGGAAGCTGCTGCCACAGTCACTGCAGGATGTCACAGCCACCACTCAGAAACCACAGCCTTCACCAGCACACTCTGAGACAAGCTTACATGGACCCATCAATGCCAACCTATTATGGTGCACCAGACCATCCCTGCCAGAACAAGCTGAATGCTGCCAAAAAGTCCAGCAGATGCTGGTCTCAGGACCCAGAAGACAGTACCCTTTTTCTGATGCACTACCCAACAAGGAGGCCCAGGACACCAGCAGTGCTCCAGACCTGGGAACCTGCAGCATCTAGCAGGTGAGCAAAATACATGCTGTAGTCATCTTTCTGAGTCCCTGGGATCCAAGTTCCTTTTACCAACTTCTTCTGGCCTGCACAACCTGGAAATTTTCCCAGCTCTTATTTCTCCTTTTTCTGTATGTGTGTTCTCTGCATGTTACAGCAGCTGACCACAAAAACTAAGAGATGCTGAATCTTCATTCTAAGGCAACCCTCACCATCTGAGACAGCCAGAGGACCATTCCCAAGAAGAATGAATGCAACTAAATCATCACTTTGCTACTTAGAAAGGTGGAGGTGGGCAGGTAGGGATGGTGCTAGTCTAAGGTGGAACTGAATTTACTTTTATCCTGTGTTCTTGGGGAGCAGAAAAGGGGAGATAGGGTGACTGCAAGGATTCTGCTACCTTGCTGTTCACTGAGTTAGTAAATAGCTCAGAAGTCAAGGGTAAGACAATGAGTAATTGCTCAGGAACCCTCAATAGCAGAGGAAGGTTCAATGTTCAACTCATTAGTTAATTATTATTGGCTTATCTGATTACATCCACTTGTCTTTGTAAATAAAGCCATCCCTAGTGCTGGGTCCTCTGGGCCAGAACCAATACACTGCTGAGAGCAGCAATCTGGTGCAACGGGTAAGAAGTAAGTAAACACAGCAGTCACACCCTCAGCTCTTCTCCATCCAGTGCTGATGTGATTCATCTTTCTGCTCGCTGGCACTGATGTCCTCTGGCCTTGCTGATGAGTTCAAAAGCTTTTTTTTTTTCTTTTAAACTACACAGAAGGAAAGAACCAACCTTTGCGTTTACGATGCTGGGGGGAATCGTCAGTAGAATATTCACATTAATGAATTAGTGTTTTTTTATCACCATGACTCATGGTATCTCACAAAATAATCCAAGGACTCCTAAATCACATGTTCTGAACTATGCTGACTACAACCACAGACTAATTTATTATTCAGAGTTTGGATCCTTCCTCCTGCCTGCACACACCTGTCAGTGCTGAAGCAGGCTCTGACACCAGCACTCCACAGCCACTCCCTTCCCAGCTGCTACATTTGAGAACTACTGCACACATTCCTGAGGTGTGCTTTGGGAGACACAGATACCTCTGATGGATCCATGTGAAAAGGTGGATGTACCCTTCCAGCTGAAGATACATCATCAGTCTAGGTTATAGATTTTCAATTACCTGATTCTGTTTAAAGCGAGAAAAGGTGCTGACACTTTGTCAAATACTAGATTCTCCTGCACATCCTCAGGCAAATCTGAATTCTGTTTTTTCTTCCCAAGAAGGTCCACTGTCTCTGCTGTCAGGGGATAGTATCTATCCCCTATCTCTTCAGCTTTGTGGATCTTTTAGGGAAGAGCAGGCAGCAAGAATAAAGGTGCTCTATCTCTGGGTCTCTACTCTTTTGATGGACCACTGTGGTGGACCATTCAGATCTTCCGTTGGGTATTTTGCAGGGCAGCTGAAATGAGTCTTACGCTTCAATTCTGACTAGACAGCAATAACCCAACTAGTATAAAGCTCTAAGCACTGCTTGGAGAACGTGCAGATGGTTTGTGCTTCATGTTAGGAAAGGGACCTGGAGAGCCTCTGAGAAAAAGCACCTTGTTCTCCCCAGGACTCTCACCACATGCCTATCCCACCTCAAGCACTCACAGGATGCCCCGGAGCCAGCTCACTAATCAGCCAGGTAGTTAGAAGCTCGTTCCCATTAGAACTTCAAGTGTTCATCACCTCTATATATCAGTGTGCTTCTCTCTACCTAGCAGCTGCTGCATTGCTAATCCCCAGCTATCCTCCTGGCTGACCATAGCACACCTTGTTTTCTAGATGTGACTACAAAGTTTCCCTCCCTGGCACTCTGGATATTATAGTTTCCTTCACTGGTGCAGCAGGGGCCTAATTCAGCACACTTCTAGCCCTTGCTTCTCAGATCACTCCTGACACCAGGGCTCGAGTCATGTATTTAGCCCAACTCTCACGTGCTACTGCTTTGCTCCCAGGAGTGTTTCTGCCTCCCCTGCAAAATGCCTCATGTCACACAGACGAGCCCATCTGGAGGTCTCTGTACTGAGCTATGCCACATCGACTGCAGTCTTACCTGTAAAAGGAAAATACCTTTTAAAAAGCAGGGCAAGGGGGGTAGGGGGGGAGCTGCAGTGTTTATTTGACAATCACATGCAGTGCTACACAACTCAATCCTCCTACTTGCTCAGCTCCCTTTCTCCCAAATACTGCCAAACAGCTTGTTGCTGCAACATCTGGGAATGAGTCCTTTTATTTAAAACGGCCAACGTAAGTTTCCAAGCCAGGGACTGGTCACTCAGGGGAAGCCAAGAGAAGAGGTGTCAGGCTTCTTCACCCAGTTCACCCTCTCTGCAGCCTGAGGGAAGCAGTACCCATCTGTCCATGGGGCAGGGAGAACCCCGCGGTCTCAGCTCCTGTCCCCGCACGGCACCTTCTGCTACAGAATGTTCTTTGCGATGGCGTTCAGGGTCCTCACTTTGGCCACATCTGCCACCTTTATGGAGTACTCCGGGGCAGAGAAGGATGCCCCCATGGCAACGTTTGGGTTTCTGTCAGGAAAATAATTGGTTACTACATTCAGGTGATACAGATGAGTAAGACACACTATGGAGAACCCACCACTGCCTCCCCTAGTCTCAGCGGTGGCCAAAGAACCTGCTGGTGCCACCCAGACCAAAGATGAGACAATAAGAGAAAGAAGAATAATCTAAAGGCAAGAAATAACATCGTCAACAGAAACCTAGTGCAGACCTGTGGACAAACATAAGCCATTCCTCACTCATTCCTCAGAGGCACATCCCATCAGCTTCCCAAATCCCACACACTCCAGTGTCAAAGGTCTGAGCAAACTGCACCAGAACCTGCCTTCCCAGGTTCCACACAGGTGCACTCACAAGCTGCAGAGCAGCAGTAGCAGAAATGTCCCAGGGATCCACTTACACATGGAGCTTGTGTCCAGATGACGAGCACTGCTGGACTCTTACACTGCAGAACACAGAGCCAGGCATTGTGGTCCCAACCACAAGAGCACAATTAGCACCCAGAAAGCAGTATGAAATTTATGCCTGTTCTACAAACTCACATGCACGTTAATCCAGCTTTCCCCTTGTACAGTTCTGCTACATAAAAATAAACAATCAAGTTACCTGAACTTCATCCCTGAGTCCCGGGCTGAGCGAGCAGAGCAGTGAAACTCTGAAGCTGTGGAGCCTTCCAGAATCCTCTGCAGGTTTCTCTCTGTGATGCCGCCCCCTGGTGAGAAGAATCAGCACATCACACACGGCACAGACAGCACCCAGACCTGGCATCCCCCCAGGACCTACCCCCTAAGGGATAAGTACCATCTACGGAAGCCCTTGGGACAACGGAGATCGAGCCACATGAAAAGAGGCAGGAGAAGCCTCGGCTTGTGTTCTCCCACAGATCTAGGGCTGACCCCAGATCCTCCAGTGAGCAGCAGCTGCCAGAGTTTGCCATCCCCAGCTGGCTGCCTGGCCTTCACTGGTGCCAGGGAGCTGCTCCTCCTAGGGAACTGGCTCAATAAGCCAGATCAGACAGGGCATCCCAGGGCAAGGTGAGGAAGCAGGGACTACCAGACCTGGTACAGGTGATGAAAGAAACATTACCTGGCATCACCACAATTCTGCCCTTTGCCTGAAAGAAGAATAACATGTTAGTGGCATTGCCCAGCACTGCATCCACATGTGCATTTGTGGGGCAGCAAAAACCTTTACCTGCAGCACCTTCAGGAAGCTCACAGATGCCTCCATGACTTACAATTCACATACTCTCACATACCTTTTTTTTACTAGTTATGTTTTGTAAGTAAAAGTGGAAAAGACCCTGCAGTTACACCTATGACAACTTATCACCACTTCCTCTTGCTTCTCTATCCCACCTGGCTGTCTGTAACAGGTTGTCTCCTGGGTTCCTAACAGGAACTGTGAGATTCCAGCAGGGATCCCAGCATTTTGCTGTGTACCTGGGCTAATCACATCAGCTGCTGGAACAAACTCTTACCACCCTCCTCCCAGGCTGTGAGCAAGAACAACCCAACCAGTCTTTGCTGGAGGAGAATCTGGAGTTCAGCCCATGTGGACTTGCAAAAGCAGATTAAGGCCAAGCCAGACAGGGGCAAGTGCTCCCGGACAGAAGTTCCCTTAGGGAAATGAGGGCTACCACAACAGAGCTGCCTCCAGGCAATGCCCGGGAAGCAGCCACAGTAACCCAGGGGAGCACAGGGAACACTCACCTGCTCTGCAAGCCTCTTAATCAAGGACAGCCCTTCCAGCGCTGAGCTGTCACAGCCGCTTGTCAACACTCGCTCAAAGCCCAGAGAAATCAGGGTCTCCAATGCCACCAGAGGGTCGTGCACCATGTCAAAGGCTGAGAAGTCAATAGATCAGCTCAGAAATCACCCAGCTCATCATGCTCAAGCCCTGTCCCCCGGCCAGCTCTGCAGTCAAGGAGACAATGATAGGAAAGACCCTTCTCACAGCTGGCCACCCCTGCTGGGAGCCACAGCTTTTCCAGTACTCCATGAAGTACCCCTGGAAGCAGTGGCACCATCCTCAGCTCCTCAGACACCTTCTCCCCACACAGAACAGTGGCACAGCCCCACTGCCTGGACCCCCTGGGCCCCTCCCCTCCTGGGGGAACAGCACAGCTGCAGCCTGCTCTTGCACAGCATGCAGAGCCTCCCCCCCTCCAAAGCACAACCACAGTACATGAAGCTCAGCTCCTGCTGCCCCACCTGGCTGGTCCCCGCCAGGACCACTCACCTCGGTGAAACGTGACAGGCAGGGGCCGGCACACTGCTGCAAGAAGGAGACATGTGGTCAGACAGAGAACTCCTTGTGCTAGAACCAGAAAAACTCAGGAAATGAAGGAGGGCAAAGGCTTCTCAGGCCATTCCTGGGGAGCTCAGAAGAATCTCATGACTTGCTGGGACCAACACAGCTGCTGCTCTTTGGCCAGGCTCTTTGGTGGGAAAGAGCTTTTCTGCCGTTTGATGAAGCAACAAACCTTTGTTTTTGTCAGTAACAGCAAAATCCCTCATCTCATCTGGATCATGTAGAACCCTCATTCCCACCACAGTTCTCTGTAGGAAGGAAGCAGGGAAGTTGTCTCATCTACCCGGAATAGGGGCAGGATCAGTGCTCTCTGAAAGCAGGAGAGCTGATTTTTGTGATTTCTTTTTCTACCTACAATTTCTGCTCTCAGACTGCAGCAAAAATCACCAGTGGTGCACTATTTACTGGGCAATGCTTATTTATTTTTATTAAAAGAAAAACTACTCTCTTCTGCTCTGGAAACATTCTTTCCAGCAGAACAGCTCATTGGTCTAGTGGAGACAAACCCTGACAAAGATCTGTCTCTTTTGCTGCATTCCCTATGACCCATTCACCTCAGCACCACATTACCAGGGAAAGGCTCAGCCTTCTTTAGCCTTGGCTGTATCTCACAGGAAGAATGTGGAAGAAAATTGTTTCTCTCTACATGTGAGGGGCCTAGACTAACAACTCCCCACTGCAGCTTCAGTAGCCTTTTTATGTTCCCACCTCTCTCTCATCACTTTTGTCTCATTGGATGTGTTAATAGGAAAAAATAAAGATGAGTTGTCAGCTAAGGAAAAGGCCAAAGTCCAGGTGAGACATATCCTAGACACCTGCAGCAGGGACATAAGGAAAAGAACAAAGGGGAAAGAAAATGAAGAAAGGAGGTAATCCAACAGTTTAATCCTCTGGGGCCCCAAAGCAGCTCAGCTGTGCTACTCTTCTTAGGCCCTGCCATCATGTCCCAGGTGGCCTGAAACTCTGTGTCAACTCCCTGGGACAGAGGCCCTCTGTCCTCCCTGGGACAGAGTAGCTGCCCACCTGTCTCCTACGCCAGAGCTGCAGGCAGACGGCAGGGCCAGACACCACCTGCCCAGCCAAGCACCCTGCAGCTCCTGCAGCCCGGGACAGAGCACGGCTGAGCGCAGCGCTGCGCTCCTGACCCCGCACTCACCCAGCAGCGCCGTGCACAGCTCGGTATCAACGCGCCCGTCCTCGGTGAGCGCCCCGAACACCAGCCCGTCCGCCCCGTGCAGCTTGGCCAGGCGGATATCGGCCTTCATCACCTCCACCTCCCGGTCCGAGTACAGGAAGTCGCCGCCGCGAGGCCGGATCATGACGAAGACGGGGACCCGGACGCACTGCTTGACCACCTGCAGGAGCCCTGCGGGCGGGG